ATTTTTATTACATAATTATTTTTAATCAGATTTAATGACAAATATTATTGTTTTAGTGAAAATCCTTTACAGAAATACAGTTTAACTGAATTTTCGTCATATTTTCTTAAATTTTATCAAATTCTTGGATCAATGGTTGCGTTCAATGCCGACGACCGGCCGACCAGTGGTCAAGTGCTGGACGACTATAGTCATTGGGCTATCAATAAGTCTGTTATCACTAATCATAAGGATTTCAACGCAACACTAAATCGACTGAAATCTAATAATAATTCAATTTTCTACCAATTTTTAATGTGTAAAACAAACTAAAGGTTTTAATTATTTAAAAATCATTTATAACAAGAATGGTTTTAATCTCAAATATTTTAATTATAATTATTTAATTAACTGTTAGTTTTAACAAAAGGTCATAAATTATAAGTTATAATTATAAGTATGAAATGTGTTGTTTTCCATTAGTTTCGTTGATTACTTTAATTGTTATCGAATGGTTGTATTCATGTGTTATAAACGCAATAAATATAATAATTTTTGTATTTTTGTCATTTAAACAAAGAATATAGTATTCAGTTATTTCTAAAATTTGTTTTAAACAAAATCAACATACAATAACAAATATCTATAAGTATTATAAAGTTTTTTAAAGTTATTAACTTTAGTTTATCAAAAAACTATAGTAATTATCACACATTGGATGAAATTCATTGTTTTATTTCTTTATATTTTCACTGATTATAACATTTGCTATTAAAAGCTTGTATTGAAGTGTTTATTAATACAACGAAAATAACAGAGATTTTAATTTAAACAAAAGAAAATATTAATTTAATATATTTTTAAAAATTATTAGGTATTATAAGGTTTTTATGTATTAATACATGTAGTTATTATTGTTTTTCAATTTGTAATTGTTATTAAAATGTGTGAAATATTAAAAAAATTCAAAATTTGTGATAATATTCTTACAAATATTAAAGAAAATATTTCAAAATTACATGTTTTTATTGATCATTATGCAAAACATAATGTATTATTTGTTACAAACAATGATATGGTTTATGGTTTGGGTAGTAATAGGTATGGATGTCTGGGTTTTGGACACAACAGTCCTATACTATCACCAAAAATAATACCACAATTATGTCATCAAAACATACAATACTTTATCCATGGAATGGATTTTGTGTTAGCAGTGAATGATATGAGTATTATATATGGGTTTGGATGTAATGACCATGGACAATTAGGTCGTGGTAAAACAAATGTGATGTTTTGCAAACCAGAGATAATATCATATTTTATAGATAAAATGATAACAGAAATAAGTTGTGGTACAACTCATACACTGGCCCTCACAAGTGATGGCCGCGTATATGCCTGGGGTAACAATAATTGGGGGCAAATTGGTTGTGAAATTCGTGAAGATATTTATACACCGATTGAAATAACATTGACTACTAATTATAAAATACAATCTATTTATTGCTGTAATAACTCTTCATTTGCCATCACATCTGATGGATATGTGTTTAGTTGGGGTAATAATACAACCCATAAATTGGGACACAATATAACCCATGAGAAAGAATTGAAACCCCGATTGATATCAAATATCAATAATGTTGTGACAATCAGTTGCACACTATTTCCAACATATTTTTTTACTACAAATGGTTTATATTTTTGCGGCAAATATAATGAAATAATTGAAAAAACACCGAAACAAATACTTTCTAAACATCACATCCAAAGTATACAACAACTAAATTCATGGCTTATTAATAATAATAATGAATTAATTTGTGTTTTAATAAGCGATACAATATTTAAAATATCAAATAAAGACAAAATAATTGAAACAAATTATAATAATTATTTTGACTTTTACGCCAATGAATGCCAAATAACTTACAAAACAAACGACTTGAAAGAATGCGCAAAAATGGTAACAACAAATCAAACCAAAAATAATGATAAATCAAGTGATGGTAACTATAAAACACAATTCATTGAGATGTCAGCCATAGGTTCGGGTGGTTTTGGGACTGTATATAAAGTAAAGCATAAATTGGATGATAAGATATATGCCGTTAAAAGAGTGTTAATTGGGGGTAAATAGTATAACTATTGTATTTCATTCATTTATTTCTAACATTAAATATATTCACAGATTTTAGTGAAGAAAAGAAACACAAAATTCTAAAAGAAGTGAAAAGTTTGGCAAAAGTGGACTCAGAATATGTAGTAAAGTATTATCACTCATGGCTTGAGTCCAATCATCTCTTCATTCAAATGGAGTTTTGTTCACAAAGTCTTAAATCTGTTCTCAAAGACAAACCCATTGTCTTTGAGAGACAACCGGAAGAAGAGATTAATAATGTCTTCGAGTATTTCATTTCATGTGAAATATTCAAAGAACTCTTAGAATGTGTTCATTATCTGCATTCATCTGATCCGCCAGTCATTCATCGGGATCTCAAACCCGACAATATATTAATTGATACTAACTTCGGGTACAATCGTTGTGTAAAACTGTGTGACTTTGGTTTGGCCACCGATCACAACGCCGATGGACACACTGCCAACCGATACGAGCACTCAGTAGTGGGCACAACCAGATATATGGCACCCGAAGTATTTTCCGGCAAATATAACCATAAATCAGATATATTTAGTCTCTCTGTAATCGGACAACAGTTGTTTGATATCGATCTCTAAGAGTAAGAGTTTTACCAATATTTTGATATTTAAATATTTTTTATTGTTTTAAAGTTCGCAAACATTTGATGTAAAAGATTCAACATTTAAGCGATCAATACTATGTCTATACCAGACATTGGTATCAATGATGTCAACACCCTTTTGGAGACAAAGACCTGAGTGTCGGGAAGTGTTGGCCAAATATAATGAGTGGTCCATTGATAAGTCTGTAGTAACTAATCATAAGGATTTCAACGCAACACTAAATAAACTTAAATCTGGTAATAATTCAATTTTCTACGAATTTTTAATGTGTAAAACTAATTAAAGTGTTTAATTATTTATAAATCATTTTTACCAAGAATACCAACACCCAAGTATTTTAAATATAATTACTTAATTAACTGTAAGTTTTGACTCATAGATCATAATAATTATGACATAAATTATAACTTATAATCATATATTGTATGAAATGTGTTGTTTTCCATTGGTTTCGTTGATTACTTTAATTTTTATCTAATGGTTGTATTGATGTGTTATTAACACAATTAATATAATAAATTATTGTATTTTTAAATTTAAATAAAGAGAATATTATTCAGTTATTTCTAAAATTTGTTTTAAACAAAATCAACATACAATAAAACATAAATTATTTAAATAAACATACCAATAGAACATTACAATATTTATATAAACACAATTACATTTAATTAATAGTCACAATAAATTGTCCATGGGTGGAATATAAAAATATTAGCACAATAAATCTAATTCCCTTGGGGATAAATTAGATACATTTGCCGTCTGTACATGTATAAGGCTCTTTACATGGTTCACTTCTACTACATTTCTTAAATGTACCATCGCCAAACAACGACCAAAATGACGTCACGGATTTGGCTGGACGTGGGCCTAACCAGTAGTGTTCGTTCGACACAACAGAGGGTTTCCCTACAGAGGGGTTCCCTACAGAGGGGTTCTCTATAGAGGGGTCCGACGGACAGCAGGCGTTGACTGTTTTGTCGCCAACGGTTGTAATAATGATGACCAGCGCTATAGCGCACAGCCATAGCGTGTTATTTGACATCGTGTTTATTATTGATGGCGATTTTTCTACGTGATTATACGTATGTGTAGTTATACTGTGATTACACTTTGTATTAATAGCATGTAATGTACGATTAGCTCCAATAATTGGCTGCCATTTTGAGACCAATATGGTTTATTTAATTAAATTTTATTTATGTAAACTTTATATACAACTGTATTTTAGTAATATTATGAGAATACAGCCCTTATGTTCACCCTGAGCTTTACTAATAAAACAAACAAAATAATACTGAAAACTTAATACTCCTTAATACTTATAAGTTATATAACTATTTTACATTTGCATAATTTTCCATCTAAATTACCACGTTTTCCAATTACACAGATTTCTGAATGAATGTTTTTAATCGAAATTCATTTAATTTAACTGGTGTGTATGTGATTGCTCTGTTGTATAATACTTAGCAAACATTTATAATACAGATCTCTCTCTCTCTCTCTCTCTCTCTCTCTCATTTCTGAATGAATGTTTTTAATCGAAATTCATTTAATTTAACTGGTGTGTATGTGATTGCTCTGTTGTATAATACTTAGCAAACATTTATAATACAGATCTCTCTCTCTCTCTCTCTCTCTCATTTCTGAATGAATGTTTTTAATCGAAATTCATTTAATAGTGATTTTTAATTAAAACAGAATAAATTTAAACAATAATTACTACAACTACTCAATAAAATCTGGCAAATATTCCAAATCTAAAGTCGCCACCACTATATTTCAACGCCATTTAGATCGAAGTAATCAACCAAAAATATTTTCTATTCGGTATGCATGTACAGCATTCAATATTTGCATGTATAGCATTTAATAAAAATATTGCCCGCCTCAAATACCGTTACAAATATGTGACTAAAATCCAACACATAAAAGCGCTTATTGCATTAGTTTATTTATTAGAAAAACGCCGAGACACGTATGAAATTATTTGTCACTCTTAAAATTTTAAATTATATATTGTCCCTGAACGTCTGGGAACCCTACATATACTTGTTTAAAATGAATGATTAGCATAATCTAGCTGAATTGTGCGTTGTTTTGCCAATCATTCTCATAAATGTGAACATTAAAATCTTGATCAGTGTGTGTGTGTGTGTGTCGTATGCGAGACAACTGCAAAGTGAACGATAAGTTTTATGATAAGCACTAAAATATAAAAACAAAAGCGTCCGAAACATCGAAATATGATTAATAAACGCCTGAATGTGTTATTCGTGCCGATCTTAGGCGCGGGTCACGTGAATGGCTGCATAGGTGTGGCCGAGCGTATGATAGAGAGCGGACACCGGGCGGTGTTTATGGTGGACACCGTATGGTCGGGCAAATTGACCGCTTATGGCATCGAAGAGGCACTCATGACACCCGAAGGTACGGTTCCGCCCATAAGTGCGGTCGAAAAGGCCCGATATATGATGGCTGTGGGCGTGATTGGGGGCGCGTCGGCCCATCAGAAGGCCCGACTCCGGGCAACGGTCGCCGACTGGTGGACAAAACACGCCCAGTATATGGACGGAGAGCTGCGGCGTCTGTTGCCCGTTATTCGGCCCGACGTTATCGTATTGGATCAGTTCGTGACACTGCCGGCGGCCGAGTTGTCGGGCGTGCCCTGTGTCTGGTGTTGGAGTTCTGTCCCACTTGTCATCATTGACGACGAGAGGGCACCGCCCGTACAATCAGGTTTGTCACAATTCGTCGCCCCGTTTGCCCCCACCTTTGCATTTATAAACACCAATTTGACCATGTTGCAAAATTATATTCGTGACCTTAAATGACACCCCAATCCATAGGATTGTCCGCATCCGGAGACCAGAGACTATGGCATGAGTTTCGAGAATTGGTTCGAGACGTGACTCGAGAGAAATGGCAGGCGTTTAACGAGTGGGCGGTCGGCCGGGGCTGCGAACCACTGCCCGAATACTGTTTCCATAGTCCCACACGTTATCTTAATATATACGGCTATCCCCTGGAGTTGGACTATCAGGACATCCGGCCGTTGGGTCGCAATTATGTCCGCTTTGACGCACTAAAGCGCACCGAACGGCACCTGCCGTTCGCTGTGCCGCCAGAGTTGGCCACAAAGCCCGGAGCGTTGGTCTACTTCTCGATGGGCACTATTAGTTCGGTCGACGTGCAAAACATGCGTCGATTGGTCGCCATTTTGGCCAAATCTCCGCACCGTTTCATCATATCGATGGGTCCGTTGCATAAGGAGTACACTCTGGCCGACAATATGTGGGGCCAGGAGTCGGTGCCGCAGATCCGAGTCCTACCGCTCGTGGATCTCGTGATAACACACTCGGGCGTTAATACAGTGACCGAAACCATGTTCTTTGGGAAACCGATGATAGCTATGCCTGTGTTCGGCGAACAATACGATAACGCCCAGAGACTGCACGACAAGGGCTTTGGTCTACGACTGGACGCATACAAGTGCTCAGAGGAGGAGCTGTTGGCGGCGATCGAGACTCTGCTCAACGATAAAGCATTGGCTGAACGCTTGGCCGAAGTCTCCCGAAGAATACAAACCGACAATAGTTTGGCAAAAGTGTCGCAACTTATTGAGGATTTTGTTCAAAATCCGCGCAAATATATTGAGTAGTTGTAGTAATTATTGTTTAAATTTATTCTGTTTTAATTAAAAATCACATTAATTTAATGATCAACCAAGAAACTATTAAGTATAATGCTTAATAATTTTAATGAGCTGTTTATTAGAATAATAATAAGAGTATATTCCGTAAAACACTATTGTTTTAAAATTGTCTAGTTTAATTCGAGTTTTTATTGCTATTAATAAAACTGTAAAAACTTAACAATGTACTAGTTTACAAATACTGATGGTAAAACATTGCAGAACTTAATTTTTATTCAACAATTTTATTTCTATAAAAAATTTATTCTATTCTCACGGAAATCAATAGATTTGCAACATTTGTAGTATTGCTAAAAATTGTTTATTTAACCAATTAATTAATTTATTGTAGTTTTCTTGAATAAATATAGCCAATAAATTTAATTTATAATTTAACTTTCACATCGGGTATATGTTAGAAATAATACTCTTATCGTGTGTTTAAATGTTAAATTTTAAATAATGTGACGTATATTGAGGGCACATAAATAGGAACTTTAGGTCCGTTTGGGTCCCAATTGGCTGCCAACTGGTCGTAGGCGTGAGGGTTGAGCGCACGCGCGTCCGGACGCAACGTTACGTCAAACATTATGTTTTTCATGAAAGCATACTTCGGGTCATTCTTATCAGTGGTGTAATCCATGTCACCAAATAGTGTGGGACCAGCGAAGTCGGCTAAATTGAACAAGATAAAAACTGTGTCACTTATACAGATTAATATTAATCGTAATTAATAATAGACTTTTATTAACAATATAAAAGCCAATTATTAATAATGCAATCTCGACTAGTGTTCCCAAATAAAAATTTTAACTTGGAAGAACTAATCTTGACCCATTTCTGGCTTTTTTAAGAAATATTGCTTAGAAATGTTATTTACGGTTCATAAAGTGTGTGTCGACCATGCTGGTTAAAACGCGAACTTCCAGATTGGTAATCTGTAATTTATTTTCCAAACAGTTCTTGCGCATTTCATCCAGTTGCTGCTGCTCTGATTGTGTTTTCAACTTAACATAGTGCAATATTGGTTAATTATTAACAATTTATATATGAATATTGTATTTTATGTTATCGTTGCTTAATCTTTCCACAACCTGACCCTGAAATTGCTTAAGTCTATATTTACACCGGTACTTTAACATGTAAAGCCTATGATCTAATCTAAGTTTATTGGAATTTTTAAGTAACACAATGCTAGGTTAATGTAAAATTAAATTTTTAAAACTTTTATTTCTAATACAAATTAGTCCATGTTAAACAATAGACTACTATACTAAACAATAGACTACTATACTAAACAATAGACTACTGTATTTGTAATTTATTAGCTTAGGTTACATCACTCTACAGTAGATAACTTACTTTTATATTGTATTGTCGTATCTGTTTGTCGGTCAGCATTGATATGATGTCAGGCTTTATGGCATAAATGGCGACAAATTTCCCGTTTTTGGCCAACAGTTTGCTCACGACATGCATTAGTCGGCTCTTATCGGGGATCCAATGAATGACAAAATGAGATATAATTAACGATACCTTAGACTCCAATGCCTTCAATACAGGACTCAATGAATCCCACGTTTCTCTCAAGTCTTGAACCAAATACTGGACGGAATCCACGGGTTTGTGGTTTCGTTCGGCAAATGCTATCATATGTGGCGAGACGTCGACCCCAACGATGCGCTTGTGTTTCACCGATTGTGACAACAGGTCCGCCAAATACCCGGTCCCACACCCGAGGTCTACGATTATGTCGTATTCCCTGTTTTTATTTACAAAATGGTTACAAAGCGCTGAGAGACAGAGAGTATTGCAAAGAAGTAGGACTATATTTAAATGTTACTTTAAAATTAAATTTAAAAGTTATAAATTTTTCATTACTTTTTTTCTTTAACAATTTGTTGCACCAAATTGTGGGCGCATTTATTGGGATACGAATCGAGCGCATCGTATTGTTCGGGTGTACTGTTCATGGTTATATTCAATTGATTTTGATGCTTTTTATAATATTGTTAATTATATGAACACTTATAATATCTAATAATGTAATAATATAGTCGTTATAACTTTTGGCTAAACAATGTTGATTTACAGACTTTTTGGGAAAAGTATGTGATAAAATTGGACCTTGGTAGTGCGACTTTGAAAGTGTCGATTTTTATTATGTGTTTGCATTTATTTTTATTCATGTAATGGTGATTTGCAATATGTGCAATGAGTATTAAATTATTATCACTAAAGGCACTGTTTGAATTCAATATAAGCGAAATCTTAATATTTTTGTCAACATATTTGTGGAACACACAAAAAACACAAACAATACATAGAAATATATTGATTATTATTATGAAAAAACATTTACAGTCAACCATCTATGTTACCAACAAAACGGTTCCAGTGAATTTGATTGATAACATAGATTAGTTGACAACATAGACATCATTTTAACATTATGTCTATGAGGTGGATATTTGGGATATTGTTGATAACATAGAGACGTTGACAGGATAGAAGGTTGACAGCACAGAAGTTTGACTGTAAAATAATTGATTTCTCTAAACAGTAAATAACATGTAATTTTCTATCAGTAAATGAATTTTTACTGAATTTCAGTGCAATTTCTATGTTGTCAACTAATCTATGTTATCAACCAAATGCCGTGGAACCGTTTTGTTGATAACATAAAAGTCTGACTGATAGATTATGATTTTGTACTTAAAAGGAAATATTTTACAGTTCAAGTGGCGTAGACCATTTTAATTGGTATAGACATGTTCAGTACGGTTCACAGATTAATTTACTGTTGAGATAATCGACGAATGGCCAGAAATGACCGAATTATGGACAAAATTCAAAATAAATACATAGCATCTAATGCATAGACTTGTGGTGAAAGATTTGTGATATGTGTGATTTACCATTTATTACAACTTTTCATCATTCATCATACCTTTAACGCTGCCTGAATTCAATTGAATTCTATGTATAAATTTTGAATTTTGTACACAATTCTGTCATTTCTGGCCATTCGCCGATTATCTCAACAGTAAATTAATCTGTGAACCGTACTGAACATGTCCATACCAATAAAATGGTCTACGCCACTTGAACTATAAAATATTTCCTTTTTAGTTTTAATAGTAAATACAATGAAATATAAAATTTAGACATTAGTAAAATAATTTGTGTAGATCTTAATGTAAAGCAAATATTACTGAAGTAATATTATATTAATTTAATTATTGTCAATAATTGCATCTTTAAACTTGATAATAAATACAGTGCTTAAATGTAATTATTTCTTAATGTTAAAAATCAGTGTTAGCAATAACCATTGCATAAAATTATGGACTACTAACAAATACATTTCTCAAGAACATTATGTTTACTGAGGTCAAAATGGTTTGGGGCTGTATGGGCTTATTTGCTACTATCTCAGAGCAGATGATTTGGGCAGAAATGGTTGAGTTTAATCAAAATATTTATTTCACATGATAATTTATTGTTAGCCATTAGCCAGTGACCCCAGGGTTTTTGGAGGACTGCTCAAAAAATGGTCCAAGAGATTACGAGACAAACGAGGGAGAACGTTTGGTCACTCTAGTCACGACACGTATTGACCGCTTGTATGCCATTGCGTGCGATCTCATCGATACAGTCGACGAACCGGTGATCAAACACCGGGTGTCCGCACATTACGTATATTTAAATTAACGCAGGATTCGATGGAAAAGCATTTAAAACACCACAACTTGTAGATCCATAAGCACTCAACTCTATTGTTATCATTTATCATGTATTGTTATACAAGTTAATAAATATCTAGTTAAAGCATTAACCAAAATCTACATTATTGTTACCAAAAGCGGTTCCAGCAGTAGTTGCACCCAATAACTGATCCACTCATAAGACTACGTGTGAGATAAAAGTTGGTAACCGCTATTCCTGTAAGAGATCCCCGACTAAACCAAACCTCTGTTCACAACACTATTTTAATGTTAATTTATTGTCAATGTTTTTTAGCTCAAAATAACATTTTATTTAATAATTGTTGAAAAATACAATAACATTACTGCCTATATTTGTGCAACAACTAATACATAATCAAATAACATGATATGCTAAATAATATATGATAATTTAAAATTAATTACAATGTAGTAATTACAAAATCATAACTATCAATATTATTTGCTTATCACAAAATTCCATAATTCACGGTTGCATTCAATCAGATCCTTACCATTGAACAAGGTTTTAGACATCATCCGAGTCTCAAAGCTCTTAACGATCAGCTCTCGTAAGACGGCATTCATTTCTTCAGCGCCGGCACTGTCTGTCAGAAACTGCTTAAATCAATTGATATACAATTGAACGATCTCTGAATTAATTATAATAAAATTATATTGTAATACAATTACAAACACACATGATACATGACAACATAATAATTATACTAACCATTAAAACCATTTACCGTGAATACCGACTTTGGTTCCCAGTATTTAATATGAATACGGATAATAAAATTATATTGTAATACAATTACAAACACACATGATACATGACAACATAATAATTATACTAACCATTAAAACCATTTACCGTGAATACCGACTTTAGTTCCCAGTATTTAATATGAATACGGCCATAGATATGACCGCAATATAGTATATCCATAACTATAATACCGTCGTTTGACAATAGTTTGGCCATATTTTGGGCCGCAGTGTCCGACTCGCGGACCCAATGCATAGTAAAGTTGGAGTAAATTATAATAAAATTATATTGTAATACAATTACAAACACACATGATACATGACAACATAATAATTATACTAACCATTAAAACCATTTACCGTGAATACCGACTTTGGTTCCCAGTATTTAATATGAATACGGTTTAGTCCGGCGCTCTTGAATGCGGTCACCCATTGGCCGACCACTCGCTGTTCGCTGGGATACCGGAGCTGTCGCTCCAACTCAGCCCTCTTATCTGCGCCGGCGGTGCCATAGATATGACCGCAATATAGTATATCCATAACTATAATACCGTCGTTTGACAATAGTTTGGCCATATTTTGGGCCGCAGTGTCCGACTCGCGGACCCAATGCATAGTAAAGTTGGAGTAAATTACGGACACCTTTCCGGCCAACTTCTGTAGGCTTTTGTCCCATTGGCTCCACTCATGAGTGATGTCCTGAATGTAGTAATCGGTGTTCGCCATAGCGTTGTGTTGTTTGGCGGATGCAATCATATTGGGATTGATATCTATGCCGACGATGTGCTCCGGGTTTAGCTCTTTGGCCAACAGTTTAGCAGTATTTCCCGGTCCGCACCCGATGTCTAGTGGATATTTAGTAAGTAAATGGTAAACATGTTGTAGATATTTATACTTTACTTAATATTCATACAACAAGTGCTGTATAAACATTGTCTTTGAAAAATACTAAAATTTATTATTAGTATGTTATTATTGTGCAAACGTAATATGTAAATTTTCCCATATAGGTGCGAAATATAATATATAATCGTTATATAATAGTTAACAAACTTATCATCATGGTTGTTTTCCTTGAGCTCATCAAATGGTTGTTCTAAACCGAAATTATGGTCATTTCCGCTTATTTCTTGCTAATAAAGACAAGTCCATTGCTATTGTCCTGTTATATGACTATTAAGTTAATAAGGCGATCACTAAAACACTAAAACAATTGTTTGTAATTTTATTTTTGTTTATTTTAATACAAACTATTATAATTATATTTTAACAATAAAATTAATTTTATTTAAAATAAATTTTATTTATTTTATTTTATGGGAGAGAGAGAGAGAGAGAGAGAGGGAGGGAGAAAACATTGTATTTTTATTTACTCTTAATTTAATCTAGTTCTAAATTTAATTATTCATTGTAGTTGCTTATATAAAATGTAATACAGTTATATAGAATACTGTACATAGCATTTAATTAAGCTACAGCATTATAAACAACTAATTCTTATGGCAAACAAGTCTAAGGACTTTATTACGAATAACCACTTCATTCACATCTTTGTTGGCCAAGAATTGTGTCCACGCGTTAGGGTTGTGCCGATCGGCCACTGGATTACATAACACATCAAACATGATATCCTCGAGACCTCGGGTTTCGCTCACAAACTGCTCGTTAGTCTCAAACTTGGACTTAAGTGTAGCGATAGTTACCGGCAGAACAGCTATTGTCATATGGCATTGAATATGTTATTATTTATTCTATTAAATAATATGGTACTTATAAATTATTACAAGGTACATGATAGAACAGGCGGCGTTAAGCTAATATGTTTAGATTATATTTTATTGATTGATCCCTACAGTTAGTGTATAATTATAAATATGCTATGATAGAAAATAATTATTAAATAGATATTTAACAATCTCAATAATCTCATAACAGTGTGCAATAATTATTGCCAATAAGTGAACGAACCTATTATTTGCTGCCGACTCATAGGATAGGTCTCGTCTTTGCACTCAAACACGTCGATCGCAAACCCGTTTCCTTCCAGAGCCCGGCGCCAGACATCCATTTGCTGGTCAATCGACAGACACCACTCTTTACGGGCATTGGCCGGTAATTTGTGGTTCAGATCGTAGTGTAAAATGCATACGGCGTGAATGCAACCCCCGGTGGCCAAAAGTTGCCTGCATTGCGACAAGAGTTGACTTTTGTCGTTGAAGTAGTGAAAGCAAAAGTTGGAGAAAATGAGGTCTACTTTGGACTCCAGGCGCCGGATATCGTCGCTCAGCTCCGGCCACGAGACCGACATGTCTTGTGTGATGTACTCAATGGTGGACAGACTGTTGACACTCTGGCCGTACGCTGTCATCGCTGGGTTGGCGTCGATGGCAATAACCCGCTTGTGTGGGACACGAGTGGCCAACAGTTTAGTGATTCCTCCGTCTCCCGAACCCAAGTCGACAATAATGTTATAATCCCTTCAAAAATTAAGGCATTGATTAATAACGAGAGAGAGGGAGAGAGAGAGAGAGAGAGAGA